GGAATGGATCCATCACTTTGCCAGAGTCACTGCTTAGTGTACCCTAGCTCCCGGACATCAATTCACATTATTCTTTTATTCATAAATGCATTCCTAGGATAGAGGGAATACTCTCTGCATTGTGCCTGGCAGGGTATTTGGATTGTGTTTCTTCCATATGGGATATATATATATGTAGCCTATAGATGTATACCGTATGTATATGAGGGTGTGTGTGTGTGGGGGGGGGGGGTGGGTGGGTGGTATAAGACCAAACAACCTGAGATAATGTGTTTTCCTGTGTGTGGGCCAAAACGGCAGAGCAAGATGTACATTCTCACTGCCAAGTAGTAATCATGAAAAATATAGCCCAAGGATATCATGCATATAGTATAGCATAGATGTCAAGGCTGGTTTCTTAGAAGGCTGTACATTTTACATATACACTATTATTAAGAGTGGATTATATAGCACATAACATGAGAGAGAGAGAGAAAGAGAGAGAAAGAGAGAGAGAGAAAGACAGCCAAGGTTTCAGCCGTGAGAACACAAGCCGAATGCTGGGGAACAAGTGTCATGTTTGCTGCATTTGGCAGCTTCATCAATATAATTATTCTCCCCTGATATTCGGTATTCCTCCTCGGCGCTCCCCGCGCTTTCGTTCTGTCACTTCGTATTTGTCACACACGCTGCATTTTATTGGGAGATCCCGCTTCCCAAATTCAATTCCTTGACTCGAAAATGTATTCTTACTTCTTTCGTAGGAATGGAATAACAATCTCCTGCCGTACCATGCATGGATATAAAGCATTGAATTCAAAATTACCTCCAAGTTTTCGTATTTTTTTCATTAAACTGAGTGAAACTGCATTAGAAAATACCCAGTGGATTGTGGTGGGTACTAGAAACTGATTTAATATATAACATGATTCAAGTATGCACAGCTACATGTAGGACAGCGTACATGTATATACATGAAAAAGGTATTGTGATTTAAGACATGCAATCAAACTTGACTTTACAGCATAGAAAAAAATAGTATGATGATATTTTAACTTTGCACTTCAATGTTTATCTGGAGCATATGTATAAAATTTGGACAAATTTATTTATTTTTTTTAACTTATAGGATTTCCTGTCCATTTTAACACTTTTTAAATTTCAATTTTGAGCCTGTGGATTTGGGATCATGCAATTGTCACATTAATTTAGTCATTCGTCATTCAAGTTAGGTGATGGTCAGTTAATATCAACAGTTCATCCATTTTCATCAGATTTTGTTCAAATTTGTCTCACCTGGCAGTCTGCTACAGAATGTAATAGTCAATTTCAAGTGAGTGTCATTCAAATTCGTGGCATGGACAAGATGTTGAACTTAAACTCATTTTTAAGGGCAAGACTGACAATTTCCTTTTTATAATTTATGTATGTCTCCTTAAAATTTGAAGAAGATATATGAAAAAATAGAAAAATACATACCTTTGATTGTCAGGTGTACAGACAGATTTTCTTTCATGAAGGAAATGAAGGAAACAAAAGCATAATTAGTTGATTGTTCTTGAAAAGAGAAATGCAAGCACAGATTTGTTTTGTTTTGTTGTAAAAATACAAATTTCCCTCATTGGTAGAATTGTATCCACATATATGTTGATAATAAAATGAATTACTGGTAATTTGTATTGTTGCTCATTTATGTCAATATTATGATGAAAGCTAGAATCAATTTGTATAGCCAAAATTAAAATTGTAACATAAAGAGATAAAGAAATTGATTGACATACCTACTCTGTTTCGAGACAGATATTCATTTATACCCGGTACATATACATAAAGCAACTTTCAGGAAGAAAAAGAAAAAACAAAGCATAACAAATATCCTCTTAACAAATAGGAGACAAATTTGAATGAAGCTGTGATGAAATCGATTGCATAATGACACAACTTATTCAATTGTATATTGGCAGCCGAGGATGGCAAAATTATATGATTTGACTTTTACAAAATTGGATGCAAAATGACAAAATTAATTGGACAAAGTTTGAAAGACAAAATTACCTATAAGATGTACAAAATAAGGAAGTTTTGAGAAATAATTAAATGAGAAAAAATTATGAAATTCAAAGAAAAAGGTGTTAAAATGGATGGGATAACCTATACTACATTATGTAAATATAACTATGACTGGATCCATGTATGTTTTAGCAAAGATTACGAAACTTGAATGAAATACCTTCTAAATATTTGTTTAAAAGTCATATTATTTTCTTATTTCATTACAGTATGTGTTTGTGTGATACCATCATTCTGTATATCTGAACATCTCCTTATCCTCCCCCCTTTTTTTTCGGGGGGGGGGGGGGGGGGTGTTGTCTATGTTTTTAGTTTATAGTATGTTTGTTTATATTTCTTTATAATTATTTTCTTCATAATTTGTTTTCATATTCCTATTTTGCTATTATAAAAACATGCAGATCTCTCTTTCAATGATTTCATATCAACCACCATCATTTAGAAATTCACTAGCGGTCTTTTCTTTGGGAATGTTCCTCCTGGCTTTTGTTAAAGATTTAATTGTATTTTGTGCAACTAAACAAAATGGCATGAAGTGAGTAATCTGTATGAAGGTTCACAGGTAAATGGGGGCAGGGGTAAGGGTTTCATAGTCAGATATGAGTACAAGTGATAACAATGAAATCAGTCTATATAGAGTATGGATGGTGCTCTCTGATATTGAGCCTTCAGCACCAATTTTATCAGATCCAATACATTTTCAACATCGACCAATTTTATTGTAAATGTTTTCATTGATATGTGACAAGTATTTTAATATAGAAAAAGAGAAGGAACCCTGATACCCCACAGACAAAAAGACAAGAGATCGATAGAGACAAGGAATAGTGAGGTTTCAGTGGTCAACCAGATGAAAAGACAAACCTTATCTGTTTGAAGTGATATAGAAGCTTTCAAAATGTCTTTAATCAAGAAGAAAAATATCAAACAGAAAATATCATGGAAGCAATAGACTTGTCATTTAGACAACTACTGAGATAATTTGAGATTGAAAAGGGGAAGAGAGAAAAAGAAGAGAAATAAATTGTGGGGAAATTAGCGAGACATCAAAATAAAATGTGAAACAATACTGCCTACTTCTCAGAAATGAGAAGATGCATAACAAATTAAAGTCATAAGAAGACAAATCTGGTGAAAATAAACTGTGATTAATGTGTGAAATATTCACAGTGGCAGCATCTTGCCTTCCCATCCTCTATCTCTCTCTCTCTCTCTCTCTTATTGGCATTTAAATGGCAAACGAGGAGTGAGCATGCAGAGCTAGAGTCCCCTGGCCTCTGTGGCTTGCCAATGAGGAATAACGAGGCTTCAATAAGATTCATTAGTGGGATCGGGTGAAGCAAGGATACATAATGAACAGATTGACTAACAAGGAGGGGAGGATGAGTGGGTATTATGGAAGTGCAGCATCAGATGTCAAAGGGTATCAGGTGGGAAATATTGTGCTGGAGAGAGAGAGAGAGAGAGAGAGAGATCTATTCAATTGTAGATAGCTAGCTGAAGAGGAGGAGAAAACAGATGTTGATTTGAAAGAAAAAATGGGGGGAGAGAGAGAGAAAGAGAGACAGAAAGAGAGAGAGAGAGAGAGACAGACAGACAGATAGACACAGAGAAAGAGAGAGAGAGGGAGAGGGAGGGAAAGGAGAGAGAGAGAGAGAGAGAGAGAGAGAGAGAGATGAGATGAGATGAGATGAGATGAGATGAGTAAGATGTTAAAGAGGAAGTTTTGAGAGATCATGTAGGGTGCTAGAGGAATCAATGAGGATTTGACATCGGAGAGATGAGACCGGTAGAATTTTGGCATGAGGAATAGATAGCCTAACTATGCCGGATGGAAGGGGGATTAATGCAAGAGCGATGGCTTGATCAAATGTAATAAGAATTATGATTGGGTAGGAAGAGATTTTGTAAAAAGAAAGAGAAAGTTTTCATTGTTCTTATACCAACCTGATATCAGACGAAATGTACATCATTATTACAGAATAAAGCCAGAAGGGCGTTAAATCTGGAAAAAGATCAGGGTGAATGCCCTTCTGGCTCAAAACAGCATGGCTCCAATTTGAATATGCAAATGTTATGAACGCATAACTGAGTCATCTCGATTAAATGATGATTCAACAAACGAGGGTTTATAGTTCATGATTGAAAGATCTGATTTGTTTAGATATTTCTGCAAGCATTACTTTTTAAAGAATATTAAATGGAGCCCCCCCCCCCCAAAAAAAAAAAATGAAGAAAAAAAAATGACAGCATTAGATTGCTTATGCACGTTTCTTTCTAAATAATCCAATATCAATAAGTTTGACCCCGTAGATATAAGGGAAAGTCTCACTTTTCTCTTTAATTAAAAACAACGTAATATCAGGGTGGACTTCCCCTTTTTAAAAAAGGGTGTCATTTTTTTCCAAACATGCCTGTAGAATACACACCATAGTGTGAGAACTGTTCGGTCAATGGGGCTACAGCTTGAAATTGTTATTATTTACCAAATTAGGAACTATGCATATTTGAAGTGGGTAAGGGTCAACCCATCGGGTGATCTGACACAGAATGACCCAGTTATCTAATCTGACATTGTTTTAACATCAACAAGCTTTAATAATTGATTCATTTATGCATTTTAAATTGTTTCACTGCGTCCTAGGGAATTGAATAGTTAAAGCTTTTCTTGAAGCCGTTCAACTATCCATAGGGGAAGTGCCATCTACATATGCTGCTGCTGCTGATCACTAAACTGGTTGATTGATTATGTATAAATGGTTTCTAAGTAATTGTTAAAAATAAGTTTAAGCAGGAAATCTGAATGTATGCATCTAATGATCTTGTTTCAAATAATCTTCATGAATCTTGGCTAATACTTTAAAAAAAAAAAAATTAAAAAAATGGGCTACTTACTGGTTTGCTGAAACAAATGTATCATATTTGTGCCTTTATAAAACGAGCAATCTTGTTTTGTTTTGTCTGACACAGTGCAGGAAACAGAGATGAGCCGGACAGGGTATGGTCAGCTGATAGCTAGTCTTTCACCCTTTCACCATGTCAGGACGGTAGACTATCTCTGGTATATTCAGGCACCAAGCAACACACTCATCCATCTTAATGTATTAGGTGAGTGGGTAGTAGCTGTGATGACAGGGCAAATGAGTAAGAAATAGAGACAATCCAACAGAGAATGTATGTAAAGGTTCTTAAGAAGAGAATTAAAGAAAGGCAACAATGAAATAGACAGCCAGAAATAAAGACAAAGTGCTCAGATTTACATGTATGTCTAGGCATTTACAAGAGACCCATCTATTTCAATCTACCAGTCACAACAAAACATTTAAGTTTATAAACCATTTGATGCAAATCTGGCCTATTCAGCTTCCAAGATTGCTTATTCTCTGAATACATACTCCAGGGAGAAATAATATCAGCACCCCTGTAGGTCATTACAATGAAAATCCCTCCCTCCCTTCCCCTCTATTCCCCTTTACCCCCTCCCCCTCTACCCCCCTCTATCCCCTTTTACCCCCCTCCCCCAAGGAAATAATAAGTTTAAACATAAGTGAACACAAAAGAATAAAGAAAGAAAGAAAAATAATGATAAAATGGATGGTTAATAAAACTAGTCAATAACATTTTTTGTTGATTTGCAAAATGTCCCATTTGCAGCCAACATCAAATTCTGTAGAACTTTGCAGGAATTATGAATATGTCATTTATGTCCTATCTGTGAAATGTAAATGTGAGCATGCAGTGTCCTATTATTCAAATTAATGCAAAGAAACCTGTTAACTCTCTAGACTTCACTGTCAAACACTATTGAGTGACTGACTGACGTCTTTTTTTTTCTTAGGTGATAACATACATAAAATGAGCTGTAAAGGTTCATGAGCATTTGTCTACATCAATAATCCACTTCTTGTAATGGCCAAAATTAAACTGATTGAATCTTTGCGCAGCACAAAATGGACGACCATTTGGCACAAGGGTCTGAAAATCAGACTATTAAATGATTGCAATCACTAAAGTTGATTTGACAACTAATGCTTGTTATTTTCCAACCAAAAGACATTTTGAAGCACTTTCGTTTTGAGGTAAGTTCTAAATTTGTATTGTCTTTCGAATGCCGTTGGAATTTAACCTTTTTATTTTGTTGGCCTGCAAATGGGACACAGTACATTTAAATTAGAATGTTGATGACAGTACTCTTTTCATTTTCACTTTCTAATTAGATCTTCAAATCGGTAACAGGACCACACTTGAAATTCTTGATGGCATTTCTTCTGCAGCTGAACCTTTAGCCAGATTTGATGGTAATGTCAGCTTGCCAGAGCCCAGAAGTTTTACAAGTTCACAGAGTTTCATCTATGCCAGATGGAACGGGTCTGTGGAAGGGTGGAATGAGGGGTGGAGTAGAGTACATGTGGTGTTCACAGAGGCAACTCTAGCAGGTAAGAACTCTATTATGAAAATAGCATCTAAAACTGTGACATCTATCTCTCAGATACATACTATTGCCTGAAGGAGGAAACAGTGAACAGGAGAAGACAGATTGAGACAGAAATGATGGTAGAAGAAGATGCAAAACTGTAATGAGCAAGAATTAGGGAAAAAACCTAGCAGTGCGCAGGATCGATAAATCAAGTTCCCAGGCATGCATACCTAATACTCCAAAGACATTAGTGCACAAGAATTTTCAAAATCTTTCATTGTATAATGAACTAGATCCATGTATTAGATGATGAAAATACCTGGAAACCTTTAGATTAGAATTGTATGAATTCCAAATTTGTAGGAAATCACATAATTGTTTTGATGATTGATTTGAAGAAGAAAGAATTTGTAGCAACTGTGAGTAACTGAGTGTCTGTGTTGGATGACAATGCTCATTTAGCGCTTTTACACAATACTAATCAGAGCGACAGATCGAGACAGCTAGTACTGTTGATGGAAGAAAATGCAAAATTGTAATGAGCAAGAATTAGGGGGAAAAACCTTAGCAGTGCATGGGGCGTTCCCAGGCATGCATATACCTAAATACTCCCGAGACAGAAATGCACAAGAATTTATTTTCAAAATCATTGTGTTATGAACTAGAAATTGCGCGGATTCCAAATTTATGTGTGTATCTCTGTTTTGCACTCTCTTCAGATTTGTGTATTCCCCCTTCCTCTTCTACCTTTATTAAGCTGTGTGACTATATTATCTTTTTCTGTCACACATTCTCCAACTTCTCTATTTCATCCTTCCTTCTTTACGTTTCTTTTTTTCACCCACCTGCTAACCTACATGTAAATCCTTAATCAAACTGTACATATTATTGGCTTATAGAGGTGCAAAAGGTAGAAATCAGTGTTGATCAGGAAATATTTTGTGCACCCATTCTGCTAGAATGCATGAATCTAGTCACAATTCAGTCACCTCTATCAGGGAGGACAGTTTGGTTATCTGTAACTGGATGTTATTCCAAATCAGTGGCGCTGCATGTACTGCAGTCCTGACAAATTTGCATTGACTTTGTTCAAAGGTGGGAAACACCCCCCCTCCCACATTCTCTTCTTAGGAGAGCAAATTTTTCTCACGTTAGCAGCATCTTTTATACCCCAGTGGATCCAATTTTAGGGTCACATGATTTATATTATGTAAAATATCAAACATGTGGAAAGTGGTCTTGCATCAACTCACCTCATTTGGTGAAGCTAAATGTAACAATTATTATCAACTGTACAGTACTATTCATCTCTACCCAGCTTTCTCTCTCTCTCTCCCTCCCTCTCCCACTCCCTCTGTCTCTCCCTCTCCCACTCCAACTTTCCTCTCTGTCTCTCACCCTCTCCCACTCCCTCTCCCTCTCCCACTCCCTCACCCTCTCCCTCACCCTCTCACACTCCCTTTCCATCTCCCTCTCCCATTCCCTCGCCCACTTCCTCACCCTCTCCCACTCCCTTTCCATCTCCCACTCCCTTTCCATCTCCCTCCCCCACTCCCTGTCCCTCACTCCCCCACTCCCTGTCCCTCACTCCCCCACTCCCTCACCCTCTCCCACTCCCTTTCCACCTCCCACCCCCTTTCCATCTCCCTCTCCCACTCCCTGTCCCTCACTTCCCCACTCCCTCACCCTCTCCCACTCCCTTTCCACCTCCCACCCCCTTTCCATCTCCCTCTCCCACTCCCTGTCCCTTACTCCCCCAATCTCTTTCCCTCTCCCTCACTCTCCCACTCCCTCTCCCTCACTCCCCCACTCCCTTTCCCTTTCCCTCTCCCACTTCCTCTCCCTCACTCCTCCACTCTCTGTCCCATCCCCTCTCCCTTACTCTCCCGCTCCCTCTCCCACTTCCTTTCCCTCTCCCTCTCCCTCTCCCTCTCCCACTCCCACTCCCCACTCCCTCACTCCCCCACTCGCTTTTCCTCTCCCTCTCCCTCACTCCTCCACTCTCTTTCCCTTCCCCTGTTCCTTACTCTCCATCTCCCACTCCCTCGCCCACTCCATCACCCTCTCCCACTCCCTTTCCATCTCCCTATCCCACTCCCTGTCCCTCACTCCCCCACTCCCTCACCCTCTCCCACTCCCTTTCCATCTCCCTATCCCACTCCCTGTCCCTCACTCCCCCACTCCCTCACCCTCTCCCACTCCCTTTCCATCTCCCTATCCCACTCCCTGTCCCTCACTCCCCCACTCCCTCACCCTCACCCTCTCCCACTCCCTTTCCATCTCCCTATCCCACTCCCTGTCCCTTACTCCCCCACTCCCTTTCCCTCTCCATCACTCTCCCACTCCCTCTCCCTCACTCCCCCTCACTCCCCCATTCCCCCACTCCCTTTCCCTCTCCCACTCCCTCTCCCTCACTCCTCCACTCTCTTTCCCTTCCCCTCTCCCTTACTCTCCCACTCCCTCTCCCACACCCTCACCCACTCCCTTTCCCTTTTTCTCTCCCTAACTCTCCCACTCCCTCTCCCACTCCCACTCCCCCACTCCCTTTCCCCTTTTCTCTCCCTAACTCTCCCACTCCCACTCCCCCACTCCCTTTCCCTCTCCCACTCCCTCTCCCTCACTCCCTCTCCCTCACTCCCCCACTCCACTCCACTTGATATGGTTAATTTTTAGTTTCATTTAGTTATTGCCAGAACTTAATATTCTCTTTAATGTAGGGGCTGAAGTATAACAAAAGTATCGACAGATCTATCATTGGCATGGATATACTACATTTAACTGCATTAATGGACAATAAGAGAGTTGATAGAATATCATACTTCTGCATGGATTATATTTTAGGAGCAGTTGGTGCCGTACTCATTATCTCCATAACCAACGTAAATCAGTCGTATGAATTGTTAAATGGACAGAAAAAAGAGAAAAAAGTAAAGGTTAAGATTCAGCAGGGTGTATGTCAGGGTCCATTAGTGAAATAGATGAAGCAACCATGATATACATGGATCAGTGTTAATAGCTAGAGAGAAAGAGAGAGAGAGAAATAGAGATCAAACAGAAAAAGATAGGGAGAGAAAGAGAGGGAGAGAAAGAGAGGGAGAGAGAGAGATGAAAAAGATATGGGATGACAATAGTCTCAAATGTTCAAAAAGAAAAAGAGCAAGCTAGGGGGACAGAGGAATAGAAGGGAAACAGAAAGTGAGTTCGAGAAAGAAAGATCTATATGAAATAGAAGAGAAGTGAGAAATCTAGAGCTATAGAAAGCTGTTTATGAAAAGTGAGAGATAGCGTAGACGGCATCGTTTAACAATGATAAATCTGATGCCCTACGTGTTATCAGTGTCTGTGATATGGTGTAATATTGAAGCCCTAACAAAATTGCGCTTCCAAATGATCAAGAAGTGCCTCAAAAATGTAAAAAACCTTTGAGTGACCGGTTTTACCATACTCGTTTTCCCAAATAGACTGTAGTGTTATGAAAACCGTTAAGAAAATGCAAATTCCGATTTTGATTTCCAATCATAAATATCTTGTAAAAGTCATGGGGTTCCTGAATGAACTAAAGGTTTATAATTATCATTGCAGCATGAGCTAAATCCAGGATTTTGTTTCGGAATCTGAGACAGATTTACCCAATCCATTTAAGGCTGGAGGTGACTCGACTATATTACCTCATCAGATACGCACCCATGATACCAGGAATGTAGCTTTGTCCCTGGGTCACTTTCCAAGGAATCCTCTTGATGACATTTTAAAGGCTGCTCACTGAAATAAACATAACACATTCACATCTTGCTTCCTATCTGGTGTTATTTCTAGTGAAGCTGCCTTTGCCTCAGCATTGATATCTTATCCAAATAGACAGTTATTATAGCCATGCATCTTTAGGACATCAGTTTCCCTGGCAACATATCTTGCTCTGTTTTTTGTCTCGCCTGCGTAGCAAAAAGCGAGACATAGGCGCCACTTTTCCGGTGACGGCGGCGGCGTCAACATCAAAAACTTAACCCAAGGTTAAGTTTTTGAATTTTTGATATAATTTTTAAAGTATAAGTTCTTAGTCAATGAAACTTTGACTATAGGATAATCAAGTATCCCCAATCATGTGAGTAGAATTTCAGATCACAAAGTCAAGGTCAAAGGTCATTTCAGGTCAACAGACTTGGACTATGTTGTAGCATCATCATCGAAAACTTAACCTAAGGTTGAGTTTTTGAATTTTTGATATAATTTTGAAAGTATAAGTTCTTAGTCAATGAAACTTGGACTATAGGGTTATCAAGTCTCCCCAATCTTGTGAGTAGAATTTCAGGTCACTAAGTTAAGGTCAAAGGTCATTTAAGGTCAACAAACTTAGACTTTGTTGTGGCATCAAGATTTTCAAAATGCTTCTTCTTCGTTATTTTTCAACCGATTTTGATTCTGATTGTTTCATATGATAGGGCTAGGAGGGGGATTTAAAATTTCTACACAGAATCGTGAAATTCATTATCTATGCTAATTTCTGCAAATTTATTCAAAATCACAAAAAAGGCTTCTTCTCCTTCATTTCTCGACCTATTTTGATTTGGTTTGCTTTATATGGTAGAGCTAACTTGGGTACACTAAACTTCTACACAGAATTTTGAAATTGTTCTCCATTAATTAATTATGGTAATTTATGCAAATTTATTCCAAAAATAACAAAAATTGCTTCTTTTCCCTCATATCTTGACTGATTTTGATTTGGTTTGCCTTATCTGGTAGAGCTAAATTTGGAACACTAAACTTCTACACAGAATTGTGAGATTTTGCTCCATTGATTATTTATGGTACTTTATGCAAATGAAATGAAATTATGTCCCTTCCAGGGCATCAAATTTTTATTTTTTGACCAGTTCAAAAGTGTACCACATAAAATTTACGATATTTGTTGTTGCGAGATGCGGATGAGCGCTACGTCATTGACGTTCTGGTTTATCATATTGAATTGCGTTATGCAGGCGAGACCGCCGAGAGCGTTTCCCTTGTTTATTGTCTCAG